GTGTGTGTGCAGTAATATGTAATGCTCCATCTCCTCTGCCCACCTGGTGAGGTGCAAGTGAAGCAGCTGTGCTGCGCACAGCTGGATAATCTGCTGTCTTACTGCAGTAGTTGCCACCGGCCTGCGAAAGAAAGCGTTTTGCAAGCGTCTGTAATGTGATGCAGTGACTTGTTAGCTGGCTGGGGCCTGGGAAAGGTGTTTGCTGCATAAGAGAAGGTTGTTGAAGGTACTGAGTTGGCCAAAAGGAGAGGGAGGGAGCTTGGGAAACAGATAGAAAAATCAGCAAAGTAATGTAAAGGAAAATGTTGCTGTGGGAACCAGCTGAGAGGCAGCTGGGGGTAGAGTCCAGGCAGAGCTGCTGGCCCCCGGCTACCGAGCAGAGGTGGGAGAGCAAGTACTGAGCGTGCACAGAAATCCTCCCTGCTGAGGAGCCCCCCTTTGCAGTTACCCGCTGTAAGCCAATGAACTATGGTTTGAACAAATACCATGGGTGGAGAATTTCTTGGAAGCTCTGGTCCTAAAGTATATTACTTTGAAATTAGTAATTAGGCTTCAAAACACGTCTCAAGTGTGATTTAAAGACTGAGTATGTCAGGCCATATATATTCTGAAGTGCTGTGGGTCAAAGACTCTAAGAAACAGCAAGCAGTAACACGCCTTCCATCCTATCATTGCTGCCTTATATGTAACTCACGTTTTCCCCCATCTCATACCAGCACCTGGTAAATTCCTTCAACACATCACACATATTTCCAAGTGACTTCTCAAGCAAGCAGAAGATCTTTCCTCTTTCTCTCTCTCTCAGTTCAGAAGAGCCTCTTCTTTCATAACATTACTGTGAACCTGAAATCTGCCATATCTATTTTTTCCACCATTTGATGAGAAATTCAAGCCAACTTTTACCTGCTTGCAGCATGCAATGCTAGAATGGAAACAGCAAGGCTTGTCAAGCCAATGACTGCATTTAACATGTTGCTTGTTTCTCCCTCTTCTTGGAGAGATGTACAAATGAAAATTCAAGAGATCAGAATAAAAATGAGTGGCTAGATAGAGGGTGGCATTAGCAAAAACATAGGAAAGGACATTTTGTTCATGTCACAAGATCTATTTTTAAGAGCTTGTTGTATGTTTCATGTCATAAAATCACATCTGGGATTAATTTTTGTAGGAAAAAATAATGCCCATGCCCACTGCAGAGAGCACCAAAATAGTCCACTCCAGCCACTTCAGACAGGATGTATGGAAACAATCAGCATTACTCTGAGGTAAGAACAAATAGAGGCAACTATCTGGTGACGCAGAATAAAGAGAGAGAAGAGCGGGATTTTGCTCAAGTAGATTGAAAAAGCCAGTGGCATGGAAGGATTATTAGAGATGATAGAAGTGGTAATTTGTTTGACCGAGTAACTGCTCTAAATTGGTCACCATCCCTTTGAATATGCATATCCTGTTGAATGTTTCCAGTAACTCTCCTGGAAACAAAAAAAAAAACGTGTTCAGATCTCCTGGGAAGGGGGGGTGGTGGTGGTGAGACTCTTTACTACTGAGGCAGAGGCGGGAGGTCAGATGCCATCAAGTGCTTTAAAAACACGCTCTCTCTTCATCTGGCAGGAACATCTCAAAACGATTGTGTTTTTTCTATGTAGAGCTCTAATTAAAGGCCTACGTTTCAATTAGTCGCTTGTTTTCCTGGCCTATAATGTTAAACGTCAGTCAGAACATTTTGTTTTAAGCAGAAAGCTCACCCGTAAGGGCCCAGCCAGTATATATACTGCTCTGAGATGTTTTTAGTTATAGATGAGGTGTGATTTTAAAAATGTATATGAATGAAACATCCAGGTCCTACTGCATTTTGATTTAATGCAAGTGTATGACCCACCTAGATGTCCTCAAAGTGTCTCAAAGGGCAAGATGTGGTAACTGCGCTTCAAATTAGTTTTCAAAGATGAGTGGTCAACTTTGTCAGAACATTTTCAAATGTATTTTTAAATAGACATGTTCTGATTCCAGTGTTATCTCCTCGTGGAGTCCCGCCGAGCTAACCCCAGTCACATTCAGCCTAGTGCGCCTACCAGTCCTTCTCAAGCATTCCACCTCTGTTAATGGGACACGAAGTGTAGGCATGATGCATCCAGCAGCCAAGTTCTGCTGATGACCAGACGTTAACTTCAAAAATGAGCTAGTAAATTGTGTACACACAACTGGGAAGGAGCCTTTTTTCCCTGATAAATGTTATTCAGGCTCAGGTGTCAGAGGGACCTCATCTCTTCATCCAGTCTTTTGCAGCACTTCTGCCATGGGTTATCCTGGGAAAAAACCTCTTTCCAAGGAAAAGGTAAAACCTCTTTCCAAGTCTAACCAGGGAGGTGCCTGATGGAATGATGATGTGGCAACATGTGAGGGAGACTTTATCACCTCATTTCCCAAAAGCCTCTCTGCCCTTAATTTCCTTTCCCTGGTTCTTCCCTCCACTGAAGGTTATCTGACCATGTGGTCAAGATAATAGCTCAAGAATAATTTACAAGCACCATTACAGCAGGAGAGGGGCAGGTGGGCGAGATGCTGTAGCTGTCCTTCAGGTTAATGCATACTGCTTTGAGAGATCACAGCCCAACTTCACTGACACGGCGCTTTATCTGAGGAATAAACAGAAATCCAAGTAGGGCTGCAGTTTCTCTCATCTTTCTCCATTGCTGGGCAGGCTTTTCTAAGAAATGTTTTTTACAGAGTTAAATGACACAGTAACTGAGAAATATAATTTTATTATTAGAATGTTTATATTCTAAAAACTTTTACCTGGGGTTACAGTACCATCCAATCTCTAATTAATTAACCTGGTGTTTGTTCAGCAAGTAACTGTAACTTAGGCATTTAAAAGTCTAAGAACATGCAACTTTCACTCTCTTCTTCTCTTCCTCCCCAAAAGGACAATTTATAGTTGAGATTCTGGAGCAATAAATAGTAAAATAAACATCTAATTTGTGAACTAGTAGTTGCACTTAACTTTGGTGACTAACAGAGTAGATAGGCATTTAAAAATAAAAATATTCTTTCAGTGTCAAGTGGAAAAGGGAATGGATGAATATATTTTACTTTTTTATCTTTCTAAAGTTTATTATCTTCAAAAAGGGTCATCTTTTCAGGTTTGTAAAAGGATGTGGGAAGCAACAAAAAAAACCCCAAGGATGTTTCCATTTTGTGGCTTGCCTAAGAAAGTTGTGATAACACATGATCTGACCAAAACCCATGCAACACAATTAACAACTCCTTTTCACCACACACAATGCCGAGCATAAGGCCAAGTGGGGCCTTGTGACGTAGTTAAATAAATATTATAATGTCATTACAACCTAAATACCTGAATTGGTTTTACACTGTGACGTTCTACTGAAACAGTGTTGAGAAACTTTAAACATGTATCTGATTGTTCCATATACACCATTCAAAATAAAAGTGAGGAATAATACTCTTTCTTCACTCTGCTACTTTCTGGGAGCTCTGTACACTGACAGATGTATGACATCTGCAGTTACCTGATCCTACCTGATTGATTGGTCATCTTCTGCTTTAAAAATATTGCAACTCAGGTGCTTATTGCAGCAGTAATCATAGTGATACACTGTCTTTAAATACTCAGTTCTGCTTACAGTCATAGGTATAAAAAATGAAAAACATTTTTCACAAATCTTTGTACACATACTGTAAAAATCACCTTCCACGTAAACAATTTACATCTGTTATGAGCGTTTAAAAAATAAATTACACAGACTTGTCTCACCTATCTTTTTTTTTTCTTGAGAAAACAAATCTCATGAGTAACATCGACAGGATGTTCATATCTGTAAACATGGCATGAAGATTCATGTTACCAAAAAACTGTACACACAAAAAATCATCTTGATAAATATTCTGATAAATAAGGATCCTTTTAATTGGCACAAACCAATGTTAACACACGTGTTCCCATCCTGCAATCATCTCTAACTTCCTTGTTCTTGGATTTTTGGTTGAAATTCAGGGATCTCTCAGCCCTGTAAAGATTCTTCAGAGATAAAAATGTGAAGGATTTTGGTTATGATCATAGGTATTTTTGGCCTCTCATGCCTAAAACCAAGCGCAGGCATTCAACCTGGTGCCATGCAACGTTAACACGTTGCTTCAGCCTTTCACTTGCTGCGCCACAGCCGATAACCTGCTGCTGGCACTTGGTATGGAAATTTCTCCTCTGGCTCAACGTGGTCCGCGCTTGGCAGGGCTTCTGGTACCTGTTTTTTGCAGTACTGGCTTCTGGTCTTCTCACTAAGTGACACCAGAGGCTGGCATGTACAGCAAAGTCATAAAGCTTCTGGAGTTTAAAAGCTGTGCCTGAGGCACCGGAGCAGCCCAAACTTGGCCAAACAGGCAACGTTTAATGTATGCAGTAAAATATGGAAATGTGCCCAGCAGGTCTCAGGGTAGAAAGTCCAGGCTAGCAATCTACTGCTGTAAACAGCCTTCAAGAAACTCAAGCAGACCTTTTGCATCTAAGTATGTCTGTGCAGGTAACAGTTAATCAGTAATCTTATACCTACCTAAGCTGAAAAATTGAATATTTAGGTGCCGATTAAATGGATTCTTCTAAACTTCAGCAACAGCACTGATGGAAAATAAATTACCAAGCTACATGCTGCCACTAAAATAATTAACACACAGCCACAGTACTGCCCAGCAAGATAACTGCAGTTGTTTAAAATAAGCTCAAGAAATAAATAGATAGATAAATTAATAAATAGAGAAACCTTCATGTAAACTGAATAAAATGTCAGCTCTCTTAGAGCGCCCAAAGAGGGAATGGTGTTACTAAATAATATAAATCTTCCATACTGTATATATTTCTATATATTATATCCGATATGTTTTGGCATGGCCAGATGGATAGGAAAAAGTAGGATGACTAACTTCATTCAATATTTGTTCTGTTGCAGCCAAGCTCCTGTGTTACTATATACTGCTACCCATTCCTATAGCGGTTTGGCCTTTTTACCCATCTTCGATTTTGTGCTCACTTTCCTGGCAGAGCAGACTGGTTCACCTTTCTTTTGTGCTCTCCATATTTCTCTTGAGCAATCAACAGGTTCATAGAAGCACTTCACCGGCTGCAAGCTGTTTTTTTCATCCTTGGCTTTTTTCAACAAGATTCTTCCCTTTTGAAAGGAATGAGGCTTTGTGTCAGGGATGTTATACGAAGCGTGTTGACTTCCTCGGCTCCTGAAATTGATAATAGTGATTATTATATAACTATTATTCATTCTTGCAATGTGAAACATCCCCAAAATGTCCCAAACCCATGCATTTTTTAAGACAGAAATGGCCTTGTTTTACAGGACCAGGCTGTAAGTTAAAAACAGAGATGTATTTCTCACTACCCAAAAGCATCCCTCCCTATAAGAACTCCTGTATGTGTTATTGGTGGACTCGTCATGCATGTTCATCCACACTTTAATTCAGACAGCATTCTGCTGATTTTGGAGTGCTGAGACCTTACTGAGGCCTGTATTCTCATAACCTGGTGATCTACAGGGATTTTAAAAATGCACATGTTCACGGCAACCTTCTGCAAAGAATGCACATCCATGGTCTTTGGAAGACCACACAGCACCAGTAACGGCAGGAAGTGGGTGCAGGAAATGTAGGAACTTCCAGGTGGGAACTCAGTGCTGCCGTGGACTGTGGCTGCTACTAGCAGCCAGTAGCTCAGGAAACTCCATGCTTTGCCTTTGTGCTGGCCACCCATCTAGGGAAACTTTAGCTTTGCTTTTAGGCTTTGATTTGAAACAGGAGAATAGGAAAGGGGAACACAGAAATTGGTGGGAAGAAGAGTATGAAAGCTTAAAAGCCAAAGTAAGCTGAATTCTTTGTTCTCTTTGTGATAGTTCAGGCCCAGCAGGATTTGCTGAAATTGGTGAGCTCAGGTGGAATGATAGCACGGTGCGTGGTGCTGCAAAACCTGAACCATGCTCTCTGCTCTTAAATTTTACTATACTTTTCCACAGTTCACTAAGATCATTACAATCCCTTTTAACATAATCTTGAAATGTTTTACAGCAGATACATGTAGCGTAACAGCAGCACTATGAGCATAAGGCACCGGCTCATGTCTGCCCCGTTACTGTGACTGGAGTGAAGAACAGATGTGCTGATGTACAAGTCGATCTCTTAAGGGTTCCCACAGGGCTATTTTCCATAGCTCGTTATTTCTGGAAACCCTGTATCTGTAGTATTACTTCTCCTGGGAGTTAAACAATATTGCACACTTGACAAAGGCAGTTTTGGAAAAAGCTGTGGTGGTTCAAGCGCGTACAGTGCAAGCGGTCTCCTGCCCTTTAAAGACCAGAAGGGTGTCACGAAACCCTCTGTTGGTGGGAGGCACTGAGGGCCAGGTGACAGCACAGGAATCTAGCCTTACCTATAGAACAGTTTTACCTGGTTGGCAGCTTTGCCAACCAGACTTCACTATGGAGACGTTTTGGAGGGAAAATGCCGTGCAGGTCCAAGCTGGAGCTTGGGGATGCTGTGCCATGCTGGCCTGCTGCAGGCCTGGGCTCTGACCACTTGCTAGGGGCAAGAAATGACTTGTGTGAATGCACAAGTGTTGGCCATTCTGGTTTACGATCACTTCTTGGGCACCGTTGTTACAGCCCATTACTTAGTTGTTGTTAAAAGCTGTAGTGCCCTGATTTTCTCAGATGTTATGGTGAAAAAGTGACATCATTTATTTCCAAAGCGCATGCAGGTGTTCTTGCAGGTGATGTTAGTCTCTCCTCTGCTGCACTTAAGAACAACCCTATTCTTGCTGCATTTCACAAATATCAGGTATTTTTCAAGCCAGATCTCGTGATTTTGAGAGACCTAATTCTTAGCTTCTTCCCAATGGGAACTACTAAATTCTAGTTTTGAGCGTGTCTTTTCAAAGGACAAGTATATCAGTAGTTAAACAGAAACCTCTCAACAATTTCATATATGCCTTTGAACTCCTACTATTTATCAGCAATTAATGCGTTTTACCAAACTGCGTTATATTTAGACCAAAGACTTGTCAGTGGAAGGACTCATCTTACCAAGCCAGTGAATCCACTGGTTATATTTTAATTCCACTTTCCTTGATTCCAATCAAGTTAAGACATCTAGAAGCCTGAAAATTGTATACACAGTCAACTCAAAGTTTACTCTGGACAATCAAGTGTTTCCAGAATTTCAAATCAGTGGCAGAGGGTGGACAGCTGTAAAAGCTACGAAAATAAACAGTAGAAATTACAAAGCTAAAGCCCCATGCTTGGTAATTATTAACGCAAACACTGCTTATCAGCAAAAGGGTACTTGGCCAGTTGCCTGCTAGGACTAAGATATATGAAAACTAAAACCAACTCAAAGAGCAAAAAGTTCCTCCCTCCCCACCCAGTAGGCTCTACATTGGTTTTTTTAGTTTATTTTCCAGCCCATCCATCATGTGTCTCTCAGTCTCCCGGTAATTCTTGAACCCTTTGGTCAAACACAAACAAATCTGTCAGGGACGCAGAAGTCCCAGATCTGTGGTGATGCAACAGGTTTCATGGCAATGGGAAAAAGACCCAAACTTGTGCCCCCATTATGACGAGTTGCCCTGAGGAAGGATCCACTGCCTGATCCTTACTTGGCCAAGCCGCACGCGTGATGCTCCGAACCAGCCGCTGGAACCCATGACAGAGTCGTAAAGACATGGGAAACCAGCCTCAATTAGTTCTGCTGCTCCCAAGATAGCTGCCTGAGTAACCCGAGATGTTGTCAGCGCCTGTGCTGCTTTGTTGGGACACTTGTTTGTTTACACGTGATTTTTAAGTTGACAGTGTTACCGTCAGTTAGGAAATGACAACTGTCTCTCTTCTACCTACAGAATGTTAAAAATATTTTCAGACATTCATTTAACATAAAATTATTCTTTTTTTGTTTTTCTTTAAAGGGTATCGATTTTAGCTCTGATTGAGCAGAAAGCTGTTTTTCTTCTAGAACATGACATACATACAGATCATACTCAGGTGTAGAACTTGATCCAAACCCAACCTGATTCCGGCTTTTGAATAGATGAAATGTAAAAGCAGAAATGTAAGCACGTCAAGTTAGTACATTTAAGTAAGAGAAAAATAAAAAGATATACATACAGGCATCTGGGTTTCTTATTTAATGAAATGTCTGTAAACTGCAAAGAAAATAGAAACAGGTTATTAAAATTACTATTACAATATGAAGGAATTAAAGTACAGGATAAAATACATGCAGTCTTCAAAATCCATTCTCGCCCACTGTTAAAGCTGGAAGAATATTCGTGAACGAAACTGAAACAAAAACCTTTTAAATATTATTACTCCTCCAACTTATTGCATCTGTTTCTTAAAATTTGTTACGTGTGAGTTAGTGGTTGGATCTTCTCCCCACGATTTTTATCGTAACTATAATCACAAGTAAATCCCTGAAAGCGTGGGCTGAACAGAGATCTTTCACACTGGATTAAACAGTAAGGATACAATGAGAAGTAATTATTGTGTTCAAGATAATTAATAAGGGGCAGTGTCTGAATAAGCTGCATTAAATTAACTTTCTCTCAGAGTTTTTAATTTTGCAGTGATACATTTCCTTTACACAAGAGGCTGGGCAACTCCAGCTACGAGCCCTTGGCTCTGCCTACAGCCTCACTCAAGAGCAGAAGGTGAGAACGCAAGTGTTTCTCTCCTTTCCCACCCCAAATCCTGCCACCAGTTAGGGACAACATAGCCTCAGTGCCAGCACAACTTTGCATGACTTCATTTTTAACAACAGTTACTTTGTCTAGTCCTTCTTTTAGTGGGGGTCAGGAAAGGAGGTGTTTAATGCCAGCTCAGCCTAACTCGGGCTGGGTACTAAATCAGTTCCCGGCACTGATCTCCCATCAGAGCTACCAGACTGAGCCTTTGAACAGCATTTAATGAAGTCACTGAGCCAAGCAAGTCAGATCTGGCATCTGAAAATGATTATGTTCTTGTAAATGTTCCCTCTGTCCGTGGTATTATCCATACTTTGCAGATGGATTTTTGCCCAGCCTAACTTTGCTTGTCATCTGTCTTGGATGGAGTCTGGAGCCATCTCATGGTGTGCTTTGCTGTAATTACCTCCTGAAGGTCAGGCTGGTCAATATTTGGATGGATGACTTTAGAGGAATGCTGAAGTCACTCAGAAAGCAGGGCAGCTGCCTCAAAAATTAGTGCCTTCCCCAAGGGACACTGCTGAGCCAGGGAACCCAGTAGATGTCTCAAGAGCAGGGAAGATGATTTAATACTGAGGCCCACATTTACAGTCCCCCTCAGTGTTCTCACAGACACCGTTTGAGATGTCCTGCACTAGATTTCAGCACATCGACATTTATTTGGGTCTTGCCTAAGGCTCTGTGTCTTCCAAGTGGCTATGGGAAGCTTTGCTTTCCATCCTTAACATACCTGTTCAGTGCTATGCATGCCCAAATGCCTTTCCTGTCACCTCCCAGGATGAGCAGTTACTTAGCATGGGCAGCACGGGGTATTCATTTAAACTGAAATGTTCTTTGGAAGTCACGTGGATAAAACCTGCCATAGAAATGTAATGCGTTGTATGGAAATACTGACTTTAAGTGTTAGTAATGAGGGCTTTTAGAGAAATCATGTATTTTAAAAACCAATGTTCAGACAGCTTTGGTTTCTAACCTGTGGGGGACAGGCCTGCTGGAACCCGTTCACCATTTCTAAGTCCCGTGATAGGTAACTACGGGAAGCAAGCTGACTTGCCAGCAGGCTGACATGTCCTCTCGATCCACATCTTCCTGAAAATCTTCAGACATCTCCAAAAAACTGCCAAGTCACTAAGTGACATAAAGTAAAGTGTTTTTTGAAAAGGTAACAGCAGCAATAGCCAAAGCTGGGGAAAAAAATTAAGTATCTGGCAAACATTTCGTTATTCTCTCTTCTCCCTCTGCCATCTTTGGCTATTGCTGCTCTTAGCACTCCCTGCTCCCCTTACCTGATGTGAAGAGGCGGTTTAAAACATAAACAAAACATCGTTAAAGAAACATTCTATGAATCCAGATCTGTCTGGAATATGGATTAGCCTGTCCCACTGACCCCACCTGTATACAAATTCAATTGCTTTCCGTCCGGTGGTGGGTGACAAAGAAGGGAAAAACTTTGCTGGCTTACCACGTGCTCGCTGACGTCGGTGTGGTTGCACACCATCTGCTGATTTTGGTAATATTCTAGCTGCCTTTCTGCCAGATCCACGCGCTGCAACAGGTTCTCAATGAAGTGCTGAAGCCTGGCTTTTCCCCGCACTTCTTTTTCTGCTGCTTCTTCCAGGAAGTGGTTGAAAGTAACAACTTCTCTGCAAGACAGAAACATTGCAAAGAGGCCACATTTAAATAATCATAGAATCATAGAATGGTTGGGGTTGGAAGAGACCTTAAAGATCATCTAGTCCCACCCCCCCTGCCATGGGCAGGGACACCTTCCACTAGACCAGGTTGCTCCAAGCCTCATCCAGCCTGGCCTTGGACACTTCCAGGGATGGGGCATCCACAGCTTCTCTGGGCAACCTGTCCCAGGGCCTCACCACCCTCTCTGGGAAGAACTTCTTCCTGATATCTAATCTAAACCTCCCCACTTACAATTTAAACCCATTACCCCTTGTCCTGTCACTACAGGCCCTTGAAAAAAGTCCCCCCCAGCTTCCTTGTAGCCCCTTCAGGTACTGGAAGGCTGCAATAAGGTCTCCCCGGAGCCTTCTCTTCTCCAGGCTGAACAAGCCCAACCCTCTCAGCCTGTCCCCATAGCAGAGGGGCTCCAGCCCTCGGAGCATCATAATAGGAAGGGCCCGGGTGTCGCCGCTGTCAAAACATTACTGCTGCTTCTCCTGTTGTTCGTGGTGACAGCCCAAGGTGGCTAATTACTGTTCTTCATCTATATTCAAAGATTTCAATCTTTTTGTGGATGCAAGGGAAACCTGAATGCTGAATTTAGGCTTATAAGCAGTGGGTTTGGGTTATTTTGTCACATTATTGGGTCTCTTGGAAATAGTCCTCAGTGGTCCACAGGGTAGAAATGTCATTATGCACCACCTCTCAAGGTATCTGGAGACAGCTACAGCCACTTTTATCTTTTTTTTTTTCCTTACCCATGTTAATATCAGCCTTGAAACATGACGAGAAATGGATGAACCCCCACTTTGTCTTCCCAGTTCATCACAATCTCACAGTGGTAGTTTAATGTTGCTGAGGTGGTTCCTAACCACCTAAGAGCTACTGTGGCCATTAAACTTCATTGTGGCTGCAATCCTGCAAGTACGTCAAAGCGGAGTGTTACGTTCTGGGGCTAGTGGAAGCACGGGAGAGTAACAGATAACCTACAGGTTACAGGCCAAGGAGTATGTGCGTGGGAGGAGCAAGTTTTAGATCAGGAGTTTAAAAATGTTTCTTGTCTGGTAACACAACTGGAAGAAACGGCACCACTGACGGTGCAAGGCCCCAACTCCGTGCCAAGACACAGCTCATTTTGAAGTGCCCTGCATACTATCAGTTTACTATCTGTAATCGGGCCACCATTCGGACCTCTGATATCAGAGGAGTTTCTGTGTGGGAGAAGTTTGGTTACTGAAACATGTATTACCAAAAATGGCAAATCTGAGCATGTTGGACCTCCCCGGTTAATAAATGCCTGGATAAACAGCTCTTGCTCTGCCAATGAAGCCATGTTAATTTTGGCTTTGTACAAAACTGAGGGGGTGGGAGCTGGGGGAGCCAATGCTTGCCAAACGAGAAAGGCCACGAGTGCTTGGTAGAAATACACTGCCTGAGGAAAAAAAGTGTTTTAAGCAGAAACTGGGAAACAGTTTGTAGCAGAAATAACCTTTCAAAGCTTAGCTTGTTTATAACGAATCCAAAATTTCTCTGCATCCAATTGGTTTAGCTCAGTATAGTTGTTTTAACAGTGAGCTGGTTTGCGCTAAGAAGAGTTAGGCAGGAGTAGTCAGCTATGGCAATTCACCATGTAGGATTCAGGCTGTGTCTGCCAGCTCTATACCACAGCAGAGTGCAGCGAAAGGCTGTTTACATGGCAGATATAATGGTAGGAATGAGGTAAAAGCAAGCATGGATTGCTTGGATGAAGAACATCAATGAACATTAGTTTATATTAACTTAGCCACAAAAAAACACAAGAAACAGAGGTACCTTGTTTGTTAAGTTCAGCTAATCCATTCCTTTCCAAGACTCTCTACAGTTTCTGGGATTATTAGCTTGCCCAGAGCAACCTCATAATAAAGAGCCACTGAGGAATGCTTAGGAAGAAGCCAATCTAAACTCATTAAGGACAATTTTAGGGCTTTATGCTCACTGCACTTACAGCACTGTAACTTCTTTGATTTCATGATGCCACTCTGGCTTTTTGTTAGTGTAGGAGCAACCTGAAGCCTCCATCAGGCTCCTCTTTTACAGTGGACAGGAAGCTCAAAAGGATAGAAACTCAGCAGCTTGGCTACAAATCCCTGACCCTTTGGGAAAGGAAGGAAGGAAGGAGAACTGCGTGTGGCCTGTCAGACTGCTGGCCCCCCAAGGAGAATTTTGGAGGAAGATTTTTTACTCTCCTCCCACTATGAACAATAGGGAAATGGCTCAAAGAACTCACGTAGCTTCCTGCAGCCACCGTTTATCTGTTTAATTGCCTTTCTTGTCTCCTGTTGTTTGCCCAGACTTTTTCTAAGCCATACCAATGACCCTCGCCCTTCAATTCTGTTTCTAGATATCTGTGATGATATTTTGCTTATGTTCTTTAGTTTGCTTTAAATTTATTTCTCCAGGCCTCTGACAAGTTTTTTGAGATTATGTGATAAGATTTCTATCTTTTACTCTCTGCTCTTCTGCTTGCGGAAAGATGGATGTTCACAGAGGTCGGGTGCTGCTCCTTGTAAAGTCAGGGGGAAGCTGAGCCCGTGAATATTGTGGGGCCCAGTTGTTAGAGGCCTAAACCAGAGCAAGAGCAGCAAGGACCCGCTGGGCCCTGTGTCTTGACAGAACAGCTTTGTCAGCAATGCTCACCTGAAACAAGAATCGTTTGTTAAAGCCTGGCTCAGACCTGATGCATTGCCTTTTCTAATGAAAGGTCTCTGCTACCCTGCGCTGCCTATTCTACATCTGGAGCACTGCTGCTACTTTGAGAAAAGGTTATGTAGAGTTATTAACTCCCCTTGTGAACTCCTCTGCTCTCACCATCACCTTTCCCACTCTGCTCTGCTGTTTGCTCTCTGCCCGCAGCCTCCTGCCCCTTTTCACTCACTGCACCCTGGCACTCGCTGTAGCACGGTAAGCTCCAGATCCTGCCACTAAATTTTCTGAGTGGAGTAGATGATGCTCAGTGCAGCTCAGATCTCTGTAAATTTCCGTAATGGACAGCAGAGTGATCTCATCTGTTTGCTCATAGTTTACTATACTGATACTAAGATATATTTATAGCAAAACATTTTGTTAAAGGGCTGTAACTGGGCAGCAAGCAGAAAGGTGGGTTTCTTGCTTTGCCTTGGGTGCTCTTGTCAGACAAAACCTTTCAGGAAGAGGGACCACTGCTACTGCCCAGAGAGCAGACAGCACCTCAAACTACCAGCAGCTTGTGGAAACAGGGTGAGGCAAGAGAGAGGGAAAGACAAGGGCAATGCAGCCTGGGAGGTGTCCAAGAGGAGCTGGTGGTGCCCGTACTGCCAGAGATGAGCTCTTCCCAGAGCCAGAGGAGTCCGGGGCAAATTTATTGCAGTGCAGCAGGAAACTCAGAGGTGCTCAGCTGAAAAAACAACTGCAGTGGAAAGGACTCACTGTAGGCAAGAAAGACTTGCAGCCAAAGCTTTCATTTTAATCAGGGAGTTAACCTGTTACAGTTAACCAGACTTAACTAGTTTGGTGTTTTCCATTCCAACGGCAGCCTAGCTGCCCTCATCGAAAAACTAAAGATAGCCTGCCTTGAAACTCAGCCTGAAACCTTCTTTATGGAGGCTATTGTCATGAAACAGCATGAGATGTGGTAAATAAAGTTATAAATCATAGACTGACTAGGTGACATTTGTTCTGCCTTTGCCACCAGATTATAGTGTTCCTTGCAAGGCCTAGTGAGCTGCAGTTCTTATTTACCAGAGCAGTTGCTGGCATGTGGACCCTGCACATACATACCCTTAGTGTTTGTATGGCTTTCAGCAGTTCAGCATGTGATGCAGAGGTTGGGACGGCTCCAGCTCCGTAACAACTGACAAGAAGGGCTAATGATTGCCCCCACTGCAACCAAGCCCTCCTACGGATGCCTAATACTGGTCCCAGGACTACTTACAGCAACTTCAACACCTGCAACTGCTCTGTAGGTGGAGACAAGCATAAGGCTCTATGCAGATTCTGCACCCAAGCAGCAAATCCCTTCAGAGAATTGCATTTGGAATAACTGCCTAAAATCAACAGAAAACCAAATGTTCGGGTATTATTTTACCTGAAGATGGAAAAACTCCTACTACAGTAAGATGTAAAGTGATTTACTGGTGAAAATACTTAACATATGTACATTCATCCATCATCCCATTGGTGTTATTCCCTGAAGGCTGCTATCTGTTATTCATTAGGTCGTGGTTTCACATTCCCACACCACTATTAGCACATTCGATCTAAGAGGTTCACACCTCCTCCCCTCAGAAAGTTACTGTCCTACCAGTTGCAATCAGTCAGTGGGCTGTGCTCTAGCACTGAGCCCTGAACTTATTGGGGTGACACTGTGAAGATTAAAATGCTTTATTTCACAGAGCCATTCCGTGGGATGGTCATGCTACACTTGAACCAACGCGGCTGGTGGGGGAGTAATCTTTCAAGTGGGAAGATGAAAGGAAACAGGGAAGAGGGAGTGGGACCACCTGAAACAGAGTGGAAGAGTAATGTGCAGCTGCAGTTGTATTCTACTTAAAGCAAAATCAAAACTTTCGTTATACAACTGAAATTTTTATTTTCAAGGAAAGCTGTTGTTTTAAAGCATAAATTGCAGTGATCACTAAAAGCCAACTCTTAATTCTATTGTTTACATGCTACTTGCACAGATAATTCCATTAATTGCAAAATTAAGGTGAAACCACCGGCAAGAAGAACTACTCCCCACCACAGCTATTGCCAAATAGCCCTTGCATTCCAGGCTATGCCAGAGCAGAGGCATGACCAGACAGTCTCAAAACAAGTGCACTAGACTGGTTAAAGAAATTATTGCCAGAGATATGGCAACGTACTACATTAATACTTTTGCCCTATAATTAGGGACAAAGTGCAAATGTGTAAGCCACCACTGAAGGTAGCTTCCAGTTGAGGACCATAACTG